CAGTCCTTGCCGCGTGGAGAAGGCACCCATTAATTTCCAAGCTGGTAGGCCGTAATCTTCTGCGCATGCGCAAAAGTAACTTTGTTACTTATGTACCGATCTTACTGAAATTTTAACATTAGCATCCTTTACTAAAGGCAAATCGATCGATTATTTCAAACATATCAAAAGCTTCTTTCGCGCATGTGCAAAAGTAAATTTCTTATTTGTTGACCAATTTTTGTGAAATTTTAACGGTAAATCAAATTGAACATCCATGTAGTTAATTGCCAAATCGATTACATACTTCGCTCAATAAAAGGCGAAGCGATGTATGAGACGTAAATCCAATGAAAAGAAAGTGCTGGGTCTCAACAGATGCCTACCGTGCGGAAAAGTTAAGTTTTGATTTTTGATATTGATATTGAAATTGATTAAAGAACAACTTCAAATACTCATTTAAAAACTTTAAACTGGAATCCAAACCGTAAGGTTTTTTTGACGGTGGATCATTATCTGAAATTTTTTTACTGTCATTTCTAATTCATAGTCTATCATGGAAAGCGTTTATTCTGCCCATTTCATGCTATAGTAATTTATTTTTTGCACGATCGGTTATAGTCGGCTACTTACTAATTCATTTTCAAGGCGGTAAGGTGCACTTACCAACCTAGGGCGGTAAGTGTATCATAGCAACGTGCTTAGCAACCAAGTGACAGTTACAGTAACATGCGACAAGTAGGATATGTGTCAAAAATCAAATTATTGTTTATTAATGTGGAAGTTAAATGTACAATTTGCAAGTTATAAAAATTAGTTCGGGAATTAGACAGGCAATTGGAAAACACGGTGTTTACAGATTCTTCACAGTCAGCAGTCGATAGAGGATTTGAATTAGTACGGTATGAAATAGCAGGTTCTGTTGATGGCAACGAAGATGATGAAGGGTTCCCTGGAGTTCCACATAAAATCTTCTGAGCGGTTTCAATCTTGTTAGTTAATGACTCACCAAGTACGTGTCATCGGGTGCTTCCGTAAGAAATTTATGGAAATCTGCTTTAGAAAAAACGCTAGATTTTTTTGGCTGATACCCAACGTTCTTTCTTTTCAAAAATGCTATCAGCGTACTGTATTTAGAAATATCAACACACCTTCTTAGAAAAATCATATTTTCAACATGGAATAATCACACCATAAGCTTGATGGCGATTTCAATCCTTCACTACGTTGAACAAAATATGCTAACACAATTTTTTCACTTATGGCAGTTTGACATTTACTTTCACACCATTTAAGGAAAGAATCATATGCGGCTTCATATCTACTTTTAAATTTTTCGGGAATGATCGATGCGCAGCCAATACTCCATGCATCTTCTATTTCGAAATCTTCTGAATCATTTAGGTATGTTCACTTAGTCTCAACCAAACCACGTTTCGCGCACGTGTTGTTTTGTTTTCAAAAACAGAAACGTAACTGTAGCAACCCACAAAAAATTACTGAACCCATTGTGATGCTACCACATTGATACATTCGAATTTAGTTTATATCAATTATAAATTGATCGTGCAAAAAATAGCGTAAGCACCACGGTCAGTAGGTGCTTAACCGATTTCGGATAATATTGCAAACCTCGAGCTGCGCTCTCGGTTTGCAATTATTATCCTCAACCAGTAAAGTACACCTACTGACCTTAATACTTAATATACTATTAGAGATTTTAGTCCATAAAACAATAACTGCAAGGCAGTATTTTATTATTATTAATGGAAAAAAGAAATTTTCCTTTCAAGCGACTGTGAGGTGGCGCCGCCTAACGAAGGTAATCAAAAGTAAGTGCTAAGTGGGCATTAGGGATACAAAGAGAAACAGTGGCGCATGGTTTTCTTGCGTGGGAGTGTGATGGTGTGGTTAGAGCTGCATATCAATAATTATTAGTCACGTGCAAGGTCACGTGCTATAGGTATGGCGCTCTTAACGTAAAATTAACATAAATAATCAAATCACAAACCAAACAAATAAAGTCCATAATGCTGGCTTAAAGGGATTGAATATAACAGTATATAACTGATTGATTTAACTAATACAATTTGAAAATTGATATGTCTCACCATTGAAGATAAAATCTTAAATCTTAAAATTAATTGATCATAGACTAATTGATTAATCAATTTGATTAATTAATTAAATAATTAATGAATTATTTGGATAAAATATACGCCACTGGTTATTAAAAATTTCTGAATTTCTGCGTAAGGGCTAACTTTAGTGAAAATATGCTAACACCATTTTTTGTAGGAAATTTTCGTTTCTTTAATTTTGCTCACCACATATTTTCTCGTAAAATGCGCAGTTTTGGAGATATCGACGGAAAACCGCTTTTGACGGCCATCTTGGCAAGATGGCGGCCCCGGCGGCAAGTTTAGAATTGTGCATTTTATGAATTTTAGCTCTACGCACTCAAGCATACAAAATTTCTGTACTTCCCGAGTTATTTCGAGGTAAAAATCCTCAATGACTGGCCTATTAGCAAAACCTTTAAAAATCGAAATAATTTCCAAACCGTGTGTTTTGCTGGCAAACTTTTTACGGCACAAACCGGCACAAACGAAGCACTAACCAATCCACCCAGTCCCGAGATTTGTGCCGAAAAAAGTGTGCGAAGTTAGCAGCACATCTAAAAATCGAAATAATTTACAAACGGTATGTTTTCCTGGCAAACTTTTTACGGCACAAACCGGCACAAACGAAGCACTAACCAATCCACCCAGTCCCGAGATTTGTGCCGACAAAAGTGTGCGAAGTTAGCAGCACATCTAAAAATCGAAATAATTTCCAAACGGTATGTTTTGCTGGCAAACTTTTTACGGCACAAACCGGCACAAACGAAGCACTAACCAACCCACCTAGTCTCGACATTTGTGCCTTCAATGTGCTGCTAACTTCACGGACCTTACCTTGCAAAAATGATTACCACGGCAGCAGCGACAGTAGGTAATTGTTTCGGTTTCCAGGTCTGGAGAAAATGATGACGTTGCACTTGCACCATCTGCATCCATGTTGAAACTGTTTGACAAACGGTTCGGCCAATCTGGTGTGATCCAGCACGTGCCGCACCCGCACCGTGTAGCGAGAAACATTTGTCGAATAAAAACCCGTCAAACTTTTCGGTACAAACGTTGGACCCAACGCATGATACTAAAGGCCCTTGTACACGTTCGGCCAACTAGTTGGGCCAACAAGTTGGTCCAAATAAGTTGGGCCAATGCCGACAGTGTTTACACGTTGGGCCAACTAGTTGGGCCACTGAGTTGGTTACCAGGTGACCAACGTTCAGTTGTCAGTTTTTATTGGTCATTTACTAGTGTAGATTTCGTTTTCCTGTATATTATGGATGTGGATGATGTGGAGACTTTAGTAGCCGCGGCAATTTATTTGCACACCGCTTTCAATTTATATAAAAAGGTGCACCAAACAAAGGTGATTTAAAAAAATGGCTCAAAACAAGGTGCTGGATGCTAAGTAATACCTAATTGATAAATACGTATCACCTCACCAAAATACGGCCATCGCTAATCTTAAAGGTGCTTTCGATGATATAAGACATTAAAGGAAATGACCAATTCTATGTTTTTTTGAATTTACGTCGAACCTATTCGACATTTTGAATTTCCCCAAGAAAATTTTAAATAAGCATCTGCAAAACAATGTCCATTTAACCAATTCTCTATCTTTAATAATAAGAAAGTTACCCATGCAATCCCACGCGATATGGGACACACTGTATATATACACACTCAGTATCTAGAATTTTGAAATAAAATCTACAACACCAATAACAAAAGTTCTACAAATTTATGATGTAAAAGTGGCACAAAAACTGATTGTATAAATGACAATATTTTTTTAGAAATATTATAAAATCGCATTATATTCACAATACCTAGTGCAGTTGGTGGTTATTTTACAACTTTTATTTGTAAATTATACTATGGCGATGGTGATAATTTACAATTTATTTTTGAGAAATTAATTATTTCCACTGATAATCTTTTTTAGACTTTTTAAATGTAAGCACTCATCATCAACTCTTTACCACATTGTTTTGATAGAAGTACAAAACTAGTTTATTGAACCTTTATAAAACAATTGTCATAGGTATTACGTACAAAATATAATATGAACATTATACCAAACTAACCGAACTAATTCAACAATATGTGTGCGTATAGTACCTAATTTTTACAATTACTTGTGATCGGCGATATAGCAACCCTTAATTCATGTGTAAAATACACCAATTGATGTATTATATAGCATTTGCATTTTTTTCAATATCCGTACCAATTTTCAAAGCGATCCGACGTTTCTAAACAAAGTTATCGTGCACACGGCTAGACAGACAGGCGGACAGTCAGACAACAGACAGATAGACAACAGACAGACAATAGAAAATTATTAACGATCCTCAAAATCAACGGAAAAAGTGTAAAATTATGGTACCTATATGAAAAAAAAATGATTTTTTACTATTTATAGTAATTTTTTTAAACGAAATATCTTTTATTTTGACATCACGAACATCTCATCGCCCTTTGTGAGTACGCTCTTCCGACAATCCGTTCTTGAGGTATAAGGGAATTAATATACCCGATAACGATAAGAGATTGAGGAGGAGGGCTATGGTTGGTAGCAATTAATTCCTTTCGTTGAGACCTTTCATTAGAGTACCATATATGAAGGATAAAACTAGCTAAAACTAGTTAACCGAAGATATTGACCAATGGAAAAAGAGTACCCATTTGGCGCGCAAATTAGTGTCAAAGTGAAACTGTCAAAGTCTCTTTTTCCATTGATCAATATCTTTGGTGAACTACGAACTGCCAGCGCGAACGCGGGCAACAAAGTTTATAATCGGCTTTGGACGATTTACAAACTTTACGTTCGCGTCGGCGTTCGCAGTTCGCGTCCGTCGTTGCAGAGCTTACTTTAAGTATTTTTAGTTTACAGTTTGTTCACGAAAGGGACAAGAATTATTTTTGTGAAAGATTTATGTTGAATGAGCTTATATAAAAGACTTATAAAGGATATTGATACACTTCACAGTTCACACCACACGTCAAAACGAGTAACTTAGACAGTTTGAGTTTGACACTAATTCGCGCCAAATGAGTACTCTTTTTCCATTGGTCAATATCTTCGGTGAACTACGAACTGCCAGCGCGAACGTGGGCGACAAAATTAATAAGCAAAACGATATACATACCTATTATCATTGAATTTATAGATAGTTATAAATTCAATGCTATTATAGTGCATGCATCAAAAAGGTAAAAAACGTGTTTCATTTCCCCGACACCCTGAGGGACACCGGAGGCGGCTGATCAGGGTTTCCTGACCCTCTTCAGCCAGTGAACGGGAATGTAAAGGATGGCGGGCAAAGTTAAGGATGGGAACGGAAGGAATGGAGTGGGTGCTGAGAGGGAAAAGTAATGCTCCAGCATTCGCCTCGTAGATTTGAACATAATTCTAACATTGCGAAGCTACGTACGTCTGAGGAAAACACAAAACCCTCCGACAAAACCCACAACCTCCCGAATTGGCATGCATTTATAATATTGTTCCACAATAGGTCCCTAGTTTTTAACTAACACGGTTTCGGAATTCTTGTTGGGTAAAATGATTGCTTTATTGCCATTACAAAACAAAAATGAAAATGTTATTCGGTTATTACGGGATTACTTTTATGATCATCAGATTTATAGTTTCAAATTTCCCAGAACTTTTGACGTTTCACAAAGAGGGCGTGGAATGTGCGCACATATTAGATGTCATAAAGAAGACGCTGTCAAATTGAAGTTTTAAAAACATTTATTTTTTATTTTCTTTAATTTCTTGTTTACAAAATACTAGAAAATGATAAAATAAACGTGCTATTTGAAAATACCCTACTACGGTTAACCTGTAATTAAAGCGTGTAGGTGACAAATATTAGGTATTATGTAAATGTAATTTATAAATAGTGCAATCTTGAGGTTTGCTTTAATAGTAAGTACAAATGTTATTGTACTTCAATTAATAGTACATTGGAAGATATGCCTGCTCCATTAACTGTTCTCTTAGAACCAGACCCAGGTAAAAATTTCTTTATCATGTTACTAAATTAATCTAGTATCAATTTTAGAATGTCGCAGCATGACTGACAGTGTAGGATCCCATTCAGATTTATCAGGAACCGTTCAAGGTGGAAGCTCAAGTAGTAGTATTAGTATACGAACACACATGGACGTCGTATGTGTTCTTGATATTTGTCAGACGACTAATTTATCCCATAGGAAGAAAGCGCTCGAAGATGTTCGCCAAGCTTGCCTGCATGTAGGTGCAAATATTAACCATATACAAGTATGTAAATGTGTTTTTATCCGATGATTATTTGGTAATCGTTGTCATTTTTAGTTTGAGAAGCTTGATTTCGGTGAATCAAATGTTGTTAGCAGCTTCTATAACGCAGATGTTGCCATTGTGGATTTATCGATTCCTGTTCAACAAAGCACGTTATTTTATCACCTAGGAGTTCGAGAAAGTTTTAATATGAAACAGAATATATTATTATTTAACGATACCGATTCGGAAGCAACCGTCAGGCTTAAGGTAATTTTCACACATATAATACTAACCAAACCATTAAAGATGTTATTAATATCAATTGTACTCGGGTTTCTTGTTATTTTCTTATCATTGTTGTAAACCTATTATGTCTATTATTTATCTAAATTCCTAAGATAAGATTAAAAGACTGTAAGTATTGGATTATAATGTAAAGAAATTGATGTTTAGCTAATCACATAAAAAAAGTAGTTTGTGGTTAAGTAGTCTGCTATGAGGCATAATATCTATGCAAACAGACACGTCCAGCACCTCTGGTTTGCAGCCTTAGGCTGGCATAATCAATTATTGTTGAATGGATTGGTCTAAAAGCTGCCCTCTCTATATACAGGGTGCAGAAAAATGTTGAATCAACACAGAGGTCAACACCATCCAGAAATGCTTCCTAAACATATAAGAAATGCCATGTCAAATAATCCATCTCCTACATTTTTAAAAGATATTGAGGCAACATCTCTTTAGTTACTAGCCGAAATACATTTTGAATCTGTTAAACAAGCTTTTCTCTATTGCGGATAGGTGTTCTGTAAGCGTAGCTCTATATAAAATAAGTCGTAACGGAGTAATGTCTTCTTGCTGACCACAGAATGCACCAATTTCTACCCATCCATGTGTTGAAATAATTGGTTTCTAATCAATGGCCCGTATGAATAAAAGTAAGCAAATGCTTATACTTCAAGTAAATACTCGTAACTGCCCCTTCATACTGGTCTGTTTAGCATGGTTTAGCAGCGCTGCACTGTGTCCTGCCCAGTGCGAAGGAGCACTTACGAGTATTTACTTTGAATTTTGCAAGTATAAGCATTTGCTTACTTTTATTCATACGGCCCATTGTCTCAAAGCTGCCGTATTGTGAGCGAGGTTCCAGCCAACTGCTTCCAAGAATTGTTTACTTCAGATAATGCAGTAGCGTAAGCCGTAAATCTACAAGATTTTCATTCTGTAATCTAAAGAATGTTGTCCATTTAATTTGTGTAGAAGGAAAACTCTTAAATGGACCACATGACACCACTAAGCAATTTAGATCGGATATGAGGAAACTAAAATTGACCAATGCCACACAAAAATTGGATATTTGGTGCTTGCTTAATTGTAATTTCTGAATTAAACACAAACACACACACTAAAGGTATAATAGTTCAGTTTAAGCTTAAGAATAGACCAAAAAATGGTAAATATTATGTATTATTAATTCCTTCGGAAATGTGTAGCAGAAGGTCCCCTATCAACATGTAATAAAGTCCTCTCGACTACCGGTTGTGCTAGAGGGTTGAGGGAGGAGCTTTGATGGTCACATTTTATAGTTTTTACCTTGGTTTTTTACTTACAATTTTTTTTATTCCCTTTTTTTTATAGTGGGTGGAGTGTTAGCTAATTAGCTATTCTCCCCACTCACCCACTGTACAATTGCAAACAGCCATGCCTTATGTGGGATACGAACCCAGGACCCTTGTAGCCAAAGTTAGAGCTACTACCATACTCATCTGAGCTACGCAGCTCGGCAATTCGAAAACGGTACGCCCTAGAACGGCTGCAGGAGTTGCGGATAGAGGGCGTGGAATTGATAAGGCTATTTCTGAATCATCTCTAGTAGTGATTGGTGAGGATGTAGAAGATTGTTTGGGGAGCACCGTTTGTGATTGGTAATATATGAATAATTTTAAATGAAAATTACAGCACGTTTGACAGACATAATAAATTTTTTCTCATAAACAAAACTACTAGTTTACATTGCAACTTACATTACATGCAGTACAAATTGCATAACTACAACAAGATCTCTTCGTTCTGCTGATTGCACTTACTCCCCCAAGCAAAACAATTTTTTTATAAAGCCTGGAAGAGGAAACATCGAAACGAAGTTATTCTCTATCACACAACTACAAGAACTCCTTACAGTGAATCCATTCTCTGCATGCACGCCTTTTCAGGGCGGTATGAGGCGTTTCGCCGTCGCCATTTCACCGTGGCTACTTCGCCGTACACCATCTCGCCATCGGCTACTTCGCCGCGATACACTTTTTCATCTCCTATTTCAGCCGCGGAATGTTCTTTGCGATTTACTAAATTGTCCAAAAATTAGAACTTGCATCATTGTTGGATAGAAAGTTTCAGAACGATAATTAAGTGTACAATTGATGGTCGTTAGATATACAGGGTGTTCCATGAGGAATGGTACATACGTTAATATCTTATAGATTTGTTAATTTTAAGCAGAAAAGTTCCTAAAAGCATGTGCTCGATTCTCAAAGATAACTAAGATACAGCCAGTTAATGCATATGTTACGGTAAGGGTACATAATGTGGTAATTGTATACAATTACCGGTATTTGTATACATTTACCGGAGTCTTTGGTAAAAGTAGAAAATAATCTTGAAAAACCCTCTATTTCCTACTTTTACCGGTAATTGTATACAATCGCCAGAGGAGCTTGGTAAAAGTGAGAAATTCAAATTTCAAGGATCGACACGCAAGCGCAGTGCGTTTGTTTACCACGTGCATGTGTGATCCTATTATTAGTCTGCAGTGTTGATTCTTCAGAAGTGTTTGTATCTGTTCTGCCATACAAAATTTGCTCTTGTTATTGATTCAGGCAAAAAACCACTTGTTTTTAGGTAAAAAAAACAATAATAATAAAAATTACACTTCTTAAAAAAAACTATTTGAATTTATTGTTTTTATTTCTTCTTTTGATATAATTTTCTTACTTTTACCGCTGGTCGTTGGTTATTGTCAATTGCTATTGATTAATTTGAAACCTAGTTTATCAAGATCTAACGTAAAGGCTCGCGTAAAGGTCTGTGTTTACACTTGAAAACTAAAACTATAAACATACTAAAAATCTTAGACGATCCTAGTAAAATTTAGAAATTAACTAGGTTGGTACAAATACCTTTTGGAGATTTCATAACGAAATAAAAAAGTAGAAATTATTTTCACAAAACGTTACATTGATAATTTGTTGCAGTTATCATGTGGAAATTACTCTTTCATTTCGTATACATTATCTGAGACTAGTATTTCATGTCTGACAACCTCGGCAGGAGTAAGAATTGATGAAATTGGAGAATCTCTCCATCATCGACTGCGCAAATTACTACAAGATGTCGAAATCCAAAGCAAGTTAGTTATCTATAATATCTATCATTTAATGTATCTACTTACATGATATTACAGAGCTCACATGAAAGAAAAATTTCTCACCGATTTGAAGAAGCTAAGAGAACAAGCTACCGGACCAGAGTTGCGAGATGCTTTGCAGAATATACGAAAACGGTTGGACGATCCTCATGTGTTATCTGGAGAAGTGGTATTGAATATGTTGTTTTGCTTCCGCGATATCCAAGATTATGATGCTATGGTTCAACTTGTGGATGATCTTAGAACTCTGCCTGCATCACGCAATTATTTAAATTCTTACATTTGGTATTGGTACGCCTTTGCGTTAAATAGGCGGAAAGAAGATGGCGATAGAGAGAAGGCGTTGCAAGTTTGCGTTAGGGCGTTGAAAAAGGTAAGGATTGTATTAGACATGAGAGTAAGAAATATGTACCTAACCTAAAAGTAGCACACATTTATTTCTTACTTTGAGGTATCATCTTCGTACCTGACCTTCAATCAATATAGAATTTTCAAACATAGGTACATAAAGCTTGTGGTCTTGAAGTATTTAATTTTTACTTATTACGCTTGGTTATATACACGGTGTCCATTTTTCGAGTGCCACTATGGGAATCTCGGTTATCTTAAGAGATAGAAACTTGGTTAAATTAGGGCAAATTTGCGAATTTTCGTGCTGAATAATAATCTAAAAACAAATTTATAATATCTTCAATAGTTTTGAAAATATGGCAAAAAATCGAAAATTTCTGATTTTCATTTTTAACTTTTTCATGGTAAACTAATTGTACTAGACATTTCTAATTAACACATTATTCGAACACTGTTCAATGGAGATTTCGAATGTGACATCTCGTTTTAAATAACTTTTAAGATGACAGAGAAACAAGTGGCAACTTTAGTTTTTCTTATGGGCGCCATTTTTAATTTTGAGATTTTAAGATTACGTCTTTTTTTCTCTTTACGACGATATATCACACATGGTGGTTCAGTATCACATTTTTTCTAAAAATACCATTTTCCTTTTATGCGAAGAATGCTATGCAAAAACAAAACGTTCTTTTGTTGTGAACAAAATGTTGACTTATTTCAAGCAGTGTCATTTACGTTTGTGCTAGTTTTATTGCTAAAATATTATTTATTCTTATGTATTTTGTTCTAATTTGAATTATAATTTTCTTGCAAAACGAACGTTCAATTCTGTTGATATGAAAATCGAATTTTCTCAACACATCTATACTCTGTTTTTTAACTAGGAAGACGGATTTAAAAGTTCCCGCAAAAAATCTTAGTTTCTATTGGCTCCCGCTGTGCCCGTTTTACACCCAGGTAAAGTTGCTATTGACATGATTTAACTGTCAAATTTAATCGCGATTCTCGTCCGTAACTGTTGTACTTATTTTTGAGTTTTTCTGTGTTCTGAGTCCATTTGCATAAATTTTAACAAAAAAAAACAGTTCTTTTAAGAACTAAAGTTGATATTTCGCGTCCTAAGTGTACTGGTATTAGTGATGGATTCAACTCCAAGTACCAGTAAAGCAAGCTTGTCTCCTTTGAAAAAACGTAGTCGCTTAAATTTGGGTCATTTTATCAGTCTTCGAAAAGCAGTTTATTATAAACAAATGTTGTCTGATATTCCGGATATGAATTTTGCTACGCTTGTGTTGAAGATTGCATCTACCACAAGTAACGTAAATAATGATGTAGGTATATATTTGGTTGTTAAAGTATGACACATTTTAGGAGTTGCACGATCTACAGTATCCTGGATAATTAAAGAATATCGAAGTACTGGCATTGTTACCCCTTCGAAACGTCCCGGTGGTCATAAGGCTGTTGCAAATGTGAGCTCTGACGATTGGCGGAATTGTGTGCAACACATTATTAAGGAAGAAAATAAGATGTGTAGATTGGATGGCCTAATGGATACACTTATAGAACCATTAATTATTTCACTCGGATCGAAGGACAGTGCGACAGTTTTAGTGAACTTTCGGAAAACAGTGACTAAATCGCTTATACATAAAGCAGTAGTTCACTGCTTTATGTATAATGCTGTTTAATAATATGAGTATGTAATTCCATTGTTCTGAATTTGTTCAATAACTTAACATTTGTTGTAAATTGTAATGTGGATTGTGTAGTATTACAACTGATAAAACATTTAAAACTACAATTCAAAATAATGTTTCAAAGGCCAAAAATGTATGCAGGATGATTACCTTATCAATTTATTACCTATTTTTTATAATTTGCTTTTAAAAGTATGATGTATGCATAATATAAAGAAGTTCGTACCAAATAATAACCCAAAAGCATAAATAATGAAATCTATCCAAATGTGAAAGAAAAACACATCACGCAACCCACAATACATGTCTGTATAAAATGAGTCTATTATTTTTGTTAATAGATTCTAGTGACATTTTCACTTAGACCATATAGTACATGGACTGCTATTATCCCTAGGCTTTCAATACAAAATGGTTGGTCACGGATAGAGGACACTGCAGTCGTGGGTATGTGAATCTCAGGGTAAACTAAAGTCGTATGAACACCACTCGGATCGCGTAAAGAGTAGCTTTTATGGGAACCGCGTAGTACGGGAAGCTTTAAATAATCTTGATTATCTTCTATACGTCCACAAATACGGATAGGTTTGCTTTTTTGGCATATCTAGGCGATTAATTAATTGACGTTTGTTAATTTATAGGTTGACAGTCTCAAATCGTGTCTAATCGCACAACTTTGGTCAGACTCGTTTACCCTGAAACTCACATACCCAGCCGATGTCCTTGACCATATTTTCGTTACAATTAGCAGTCCATGTACTATATGGTCTAAGCATTTTCAGTGTAAATCAGGTTTTTAAATCCGTCTTCCTAGTTAAAAAACAGAGTATAGTTCCTTGATGCCAGCGCTGCAACCGGACATATGCATCAAACTGTCAAACTTTTGTTCACAATAAAAGAACGTTTTGTTTTTCCAAAGCACTCTTCCCAAAAAATAAAAAATTGTATTTTAGGAAAAATGTGACACTGAACCACCATGTGTGATATATCGTCGTAAAGAGAAAAAAAGACGTAATCTTAAAATCTCAAAATTAAAAATGGCGCCCATAAGAAAAACTAAAGTTGCCACTTGTTTCTCTGTCATCTTAAAAGTTATTTAAAACGAGATGCCACATTCGAAATCTCCATTGAAAAGTGTTCGAATAATGTGTTAACTAGAAATGTCTAGTACGACTAGTTTATCATGAAAAAATTAAAAACGAAAATCAGAAAGTTTCGTTTTTTTGCGATATTTTCAGAACTATTGATGATATTTTAAATTTCTTTTCAGATGGTTATTCAGCAGGGAAATTCGCAACTTTGTCCCCATTTAACCAACTTTAATAATAATAATAATAATAATAAATGCCTTTAATTACAAAGAAATAAACAATATAATGGATTACATAAAACTGGGGCGAGATTCAGTTGAAAGGTGCATTACCTCCCTCCTGCTCTTCCATCTAAACCCCAAAAGTAGATATATTTATTTAAACTAAATAATATTGAAGGCAACCAAACACAAGAAGAATCTTGACAAATGCGTGCAGGCGTGGAATTGCATTTAGTGCTCCAAACAATGTACGACCATGAAAGTATTTTATGACCAAAACCAAAAGGATTCTATTCCGCGTATAGATAGCTCTTCAGTTTACGTTTAAAGGTATTTATCGGTAGACTTTTGAGTTCTGAAGGAATTGCGTTATAGAGCTTTGAGATTTGATAGGTGAAAGATCGCTCAAAAGCGACCGTTCTATGACAAGGTGTTGAAAGTAGCCCTCTATAACGTAAATTTAAAATGTGGATATCTGTACGAAACGTAATTTTGTTGTACAAATAAGCAGGTGTTTTTGTAATTAATACTTTGTGAAACAAACAAATTGTTCGAAACTCGCGTTGTCTATGTATTGTCATACATAACCAACCAATCTCCTTTAATTTATAAGAAATATGTTCTCTTCGTTTAATGCCAAAAATCAGCCTTAAACAAGAGTTTTGTAAAGTTTGAAGCTTATTACTATCTACAACTTTCAAACTAGCATTATAAAGAATATCACAGAAGTTTGACCTTGGTAAGACTAATGTTTGGCACAAAAGAGTTTTCGTGGAGGTACTTAGGATGCGTCGACTGTTGTATATTAATTTAAGTGCTGCATAACTATTTCGAATGCACCGAGTTACATGTTCTGAAAATCTTAGTTTAGGATCAAGAATTACTCCCAAATTCTTTACAACTTTAGTTACAGCCACTGTCTGATTTCCTACCTGGATGTTGAGTACTTCTGCACTAGCGTCATCGATGCCAAAACATGTTACAGCGGATTTACCGGAATTTAGTATTAATTGATGTTCATTCGAAATTTTAGAAATTATATTCAGGTCAAGATTTACCTTCGCTACCGCAGTTTTCAAGTCACTCGGATAAAAAGAGTAATATAACTGTATGTCATCCGCATACATATGACATGTGACATGTCTTAGCATGCCCGGAAATGTAGATGTGTACATAATATAGAATAACGGACCTAAGATTGAACCTTGGGGGACTCCTCTGCTAACAGCTTGAAATTTGGAAATTTTGTTCCCAACTACTACAGCTTGTTGGCGGTTAATAAGATAATTTGAAATTAATTCGACTGCGGATTTATCAAAACCTAGGAAGTGTATTAATGCTATCAGGATGTCATGGTTTAATGTATCGAAAGCCTTGCTATAGTCAAGCAATACCAGAACTGTAGCCATTCCTTTGTCCATTGATCGAAATATATCATCGGTAACTTTCAGTAGTGCTGTACAACAACTATGGCCGGGCCTAAAACCGGATTGCTCCTCTGGTAAAATGTTGTTAATACTAAGGTGTCTTCTAATTTGTGAGTCAATAATTTTCTCAAAAATTTTTGATAACACGGGCAAAATACTTATTGGTCTAATGTCACTAATACTCAAAACTTCCTTCTTTTTAGGAATTGGGATCACATATGACTTTTTCCAGCTGTCAGGAAATGTAGAATTTAAGATACAGAAATTAAACACATGCGTGAAAATACTTAACAAACGTGGGATACACAATTTAATTAATTCTATACTAATTGCATCGTGGCCACAAGCTTTCGATTTGATAGAATTTCTTTCTATCTTAAGGTAAGCGAGATCCCCATAGTGGCATTCGAAAAATGGACACTGTGTATAGATAAACCTTACTACTTAATGTTTACCATTACTCTTCTGGCGGTCACATTTTCATATACAATGCGATCAAAAATGAGTTGCTGTCGAGCCACCTTTGAAATTTTTGTTTACATGGGAAATCCAGAGACTTGCTATAACTAGACTGCGCTTAACGTATCTAAGGTGTTGTCGACACAGTATGCAACACACAATGCACCGCGGGGCAAAAATCGCTGAGGTGATATGCAATATAATGAAATAAGCTGTTATTTTAGATGTTCCGTTCATTAATCATTCTCGTGATTAGCTCGAATTAGTGAACAGATAAATTTCTGTTGAGAATAAACCAATAAACTTAGGTTAACTTGTGCCTATCAACATGTACTCTGTCGATAAATTTTTAAATAATATGCTGATTTTCAACGGATAAAAGTTTAAAGGGCCAATGGATCAGAGCCATTCGAAGAGAAAAATTTACTCCCACCATAGTGCATTTGCGGGGAATGAAGCCGATTTTAGAAAGGTACCTACGAAGGTGTTAAACAATAATGCAATACCGAGCGTTTTCGACTTTCCCATTCACTTAAAATAACGTAGAACTATTATTCGACATCCTTTACCAGCAAGACAACGGCAGTACCTATTTGCCTATTAGGTATAGACGTAACTAAGTACTTACTGGTACTAAGTATATTTCAGGTTTTGTTACAAGAAAAATAGCTAAGTCTGTTAAATGTTCCATATGTGGAGATGCGATATTCGCATCAGAGAGTCATTCAAAGCTTTTAACTAGAAAAAATCGTGGAGGATTGTTGCACGTATCAAGCGATGCATTAAAAATTTGCCAAATTGCTGAAAATGTGTTCAGGTTTTTCATTCAATCCACACTACACCGCGTTGTAAACAAAATGGTTATCAGCAGTCTAAGAAAAATAAATAACCGTTACAGCCCATTTGGGTTTTTGGATAGGAATATATTGCATCAAAATCCGCTAAATAATCATATCTTACTACTTACAACTTTAGTTTTAAGAGTATATTTTCCAATACGTGTTCACCACCAAAATACACATATAAATCAAATTAGGACTAGAGTAAGGCAGTTATATACCAATTTAGTTCAAATAAAATACCAATAAATTCGATTAAAACAGTTAACAGCTATATGTTATCTTTTTTTGCTACTAAAATTTAGAATAAATATGGCTAAAGCAAACTGCAGAACGTACGTCTGCCCCGCGATGAACAGTTGGTTGCCTATCCTATCTTGACAACAGGCGTTTATATCTACGTTACGCGCGGTCTAGTTATAACAAGTCTCTGGGGAAATCGTATTTAACTTCCATAGGCGACTTGACAGCAACTCATTTTTGATCGTCCGTTATACTTTGCCAACGCCGCGGCGGCAAATGTTTTTGGCTACTGACGTCACGCAGTCTAGTCTTGCGTACAGGTACGTTTTCTTCCTCCGCGCCACCCTTGATTTTACCGTGCTTACAGCGGAAATATTTTTTGCTTAAATTTTTTTTGGTCGTTTTTAATAACAAAATCTCTCAATTTTAGTTAAAATAAAACAAATGTTGAACTTCCCTATTGGTGATTTATGCAATCAAATGCTTTTGACATGTCAAAGTATATGCCCATGATATACAGCTTGGTCTTTAACAAATCCATGCTGAGACGGACACGGCAGTTGGTGTTTCTGGAAATAATCATACATTCGATTGGCCATGCATTTTTCAAATATCTTGTGGATATGTGGAAATTACGAATCGTAACTCATTTATCGCACATAGATTCTAAACTGAAGACTTTTGACTCGCGCTTTAATTATCGTAATCCCGCTCCGGCAAGATAGGTAACCCGGTCCTTGTTTTGGGGTTTCGAGCCTACAGTTGAATGTCGAAGACAATCACGGAATTAGGTGTCATGCTTCAAATGGTTACAGTTTTTACCACCCCCGTGACTGCTTCATTCACGAGAAAATTGTTAGTTACAAACAACAAATCAGTACATACATCAAACGAATCGGTAATTTCCACATATTAAAATAAAATGATCAAAATTTATGTGAATGTAATGTAACTTCTCGGACAAGACCAAGTATCAACACATAAACATAAATTAAGCAAACATTACACCAAAAACGTAAACGATTACAAACAAAAAGATAATGGTATTAAACATGTCTTCTGCATTGCGGTTAAACCAAGTAAATTTGAAAAACAAAGATTGAAACACAAAAACTATAAAATGTGGCATACAAAATACAACTACGGTATAAAGAAATGCAAAAATTACTACCTGCATTAAATAACACAAAATAACAACAAACATTTATGGAGCGACGCGTTCACGACCGCCATTCAAGACAAGATGCTCAACGTAACCCTCGTTCGTGCTCTCCAGATAGCGCAAATCGCTTTCCTCTCCTAAAAATTGCGTGGTTGCCAACTCTAAAAAATGTGTGCATCGTCGTAAGTTGTATATCGGGTGATCAAAAAGAACTGCAGACAGTTTAAAATGGGCGCTTTAAGTTTTTAATATTTTTTTCTACAACTGTCAAAAAAACCTGTCATTTTCTGACGAATTTCGAAGCGCGAAGTACTAGATTTTTAAACGGTTAATTAATAAGTAAGGTTGCCCTTGACAACGTGCGCGAAATCGTCAACAGTGAAAAAAAGTATTTCGCGCACGTGACAAAGTTGAACTTAAACAGCAAATTTAATTAACAATCGGTTCAGTTGTAGAAAAAATATTGTATATAACGCTAGCGCGAAGTTATTTCGCGCATTTGACTGATATTTTAACTCGGCTTCGCCTCGTCAAAATACCTTCAGTCTCAATGCGCGAAATTGAACTTCGCGCTCTTGTTATATAAATAACTATTTTATTATACTTGAATCACAATCTCCGTTTTAAACACTCAAATGCGTGCGAAAAAAGGCCTTTAAAACACACGTGCTTTAAAGTTGCTAAGTAACGATACTTCAAGTATGACTTTTGAAACTGTCATCTGGGCTGAAATAAAAAATCTTCCTAAGTCGCTTTCTGTAAATGCAGAACATTTCTTTGGCTTGTACCTATCCTTTGGTTGAAGCTTTTACAAACGCGCGTAATTTAGGGCATGCTTCCAAATCTGTTCCACTTTTTAGTCCCAGTAATAAGTGAAGTTTTGAATGAATGCACCAAAAGATAGAAGATTTAAATACCTTTGACATTTCCTTCATATATGCCAGCATTATCGATACATTTAAGACTTTATTCGTAAGTAACTTCCTATTCATCCATGGAAACAACTTTTCATATGCTTGATAATAGGCTTTACTGAATAGAGATTTTACACCTACCAACGTTTGTTTAGATTTTACAACAAGCGATTTAATGGACGGTGTATTATCTTTTTCAACGGAAATCGTTTTATTCACAAAGACCGCGATTTTTATAAGCAAACGTCAAGTGACATTTCCATGGCAATCGTGAAATTACGAACACCCAGCCCACTTAATTAGACATGTATTCGAGTATAACGTCAATATGATTTCATTGTATTTTCTATTTTTAAATTATACTGCAGGTATAATAAAAAATACTATAAGATACACGTGTATAATTGGTCTTTAAAGCACTTACAACGTTAAAAGCACTCCGCTTTGCGTCGTGCCCTTAAACTCGTTGCGCGTGCTTTAAAGACTTGATTATACACTTGTATCTTAATATACTATTTACTTAAGGAATTGGCAAACATGTTTAGAAGGTAGTTTATTTATGTATTAGTGATTAAATTGATCCACCACTGCTTTTACATAAATGACATCCACTTTATAAATGTTTAGTTTTACGGAAAATTCAAATTGTCCGCACTACTTTTCGATCACCCGGTATACCTCGGTATATACAGGATGGAACCTCTCAAAGTGGTAACCGATCGAACCCCTCCTCAATAGATTTCGTTCTGTTATTGAAGTAGTCACTGAAAATATTACATAGCAGCGCTGGGTCTGTTATGCTGTCGTTGTTATGCTTGATTTCTTAAGCACTTAAGACTTTGTGGTACGCTGCGCGTTAAGTTGTTTAGTAGTGTCCATACAGCTTTATTGTTGTTGATGCAGTTGGGAATCTATCGTTACTAGCTCGTTTTGATCCGTTGATTATTTTTCCTGGTGCTTCAAAACGTGTATTTCCGTCATAAAAGTGGGGGGGGGGGGGTATTTTTTACCCCAATGTAATACTTACCTCCCTTTCAGACGTGCGAATGGTAAAAAGAGTTAGGTACTATCATCATTACCTCAATTTTTGCCTTTAATGTGGTGGTTATTTATTCTAACCATTTGTACCATTTTTTGAACGGATGATTTGACAGATCTATAAGGACTGGACTACTTGAAGAAGTGCTCCACAAACAAGTCAGTCTTCAGGACAGTGGTATAATATGCATATGTGAAGCTACCAAGGAAAACAGAACCATACCCAACATCTAGGAAACATGCAATACTTAATTTCTCTTGTACAATGATCGTAAACGTAAACATATTTATGCTTTCAATGCTATACCTAAATTCATGTCCCTTCCAATGAATAGTAATTTTAGCAATGTTGGAGCAAGTTCATAACTATGAAATCTAATTGTTAAGCTTGATCCTTGTAGAAATATTCGTTTATCTCGATTAGTGAGATTCTATTCGTTACTATTTCTTGTTGGAATAGGTAGGTAATTAAAATGTGTGTTCTCACTTTCAGAACGAAAAATGGGTCACTGTAATTTACAATTCATTCATTTACAGAAAGAAAATCATTTTCCAGATATGCTTTGCTTATGTGGACGTATATATAAAGACAAATTTATTGAATCAAATCATTCGGATACAGAGAGCTTAAACCAGGCAGTTCATTGGTACAGGAAAGGTTTTGAGGTGCAACCAAACGAATATGCCGGTTTGTATAGTCTAAAAGTAAGTAATATAGTTTTTTCCTATGATCAATTTTCAGGTATTAATCTGGCTACTCTCCTAGTTATTCTTGGGGCCGAAATAGGAAAGTCCGAGGAATTACAACACATCGGAATGGTTTTAAATAATCTAATCGGCAAAAAGGGCAGTTTGGAATCGTTACAAGATTACTGGGATGTCGCTACGTTTTTTGAAATTTCGGTTTTGGTGCAACATTACACTAATGCAGTTCAGGCCGCCGAATGTATGTTCAAGCTCAAACCGCCGGATTGGTATCTCAAGTCGACTATTGGGAATATCGAGTTGATCGATAGATTTCGTCGGAGGAAGGATGACGAACGCTCACCTGAAGAACAAGTCTGTATGTTTATTGAGTGGGAAGTACTTACGCACGAAATGTTTGCAGATTTTTCATTTTTGGATGGAATTTTTTCTTGAAGCTACTCGTGCTCCTGCAGATGATAGTATTAGATTTCCGGCTTTGGTTCTTGAGCCAAGCAAGGAACTAATGCCTACGTATGTTTGTGTTAATCTGGAAACCGAACAAAAGTCTTTACAAGTATTTTAAATTTTCATTTCTACCGCAGTATGTTTATGTGTCTTCGTAGGTAACTAATTTATGTGTGGAAAGTTTACGTGGCACCTGCACACAAATGCACGACTTCGAATTTACTGCCGCAATGATACGTAGCGTCAGTCTTTACAAACGTGATGACCGTTGCCTGTTTTTATATGTAAATCAAAATTCAGACGATTTTCAAATTTTTTTGCCATCCGAGGCGTGCAGGTAAAAATTTCATCATGTAAATATGAATCTAATTCAAATTTGTCGCAGAGAACGAATTCACAGTCTGATCTTGGAACTAACAGTTGACCAAGAAGGATTAGTGGAGATGGAACCTCCACGCGAGATTCGTTTTGAGTATGAAATGGACGAGCTGTCCAAGCGGGTAATTCTAGGCAAGGGTACCTACGGTGTCGTTTACGCTGCTCGTGATCTCAACACACAAGTTCGTATCGCCGTAAAGGAGGTGCCTGAGAAAAATTTGGGTGCTGTGCAACCGTTACACGAAGAGATACGTCTTCACTCTCAATTACGCCATCGGAATATAGTCCAATATTTGGGTTCACTTTCTGAAAATAATTATTTTAAAATATTTATGGAACAAGTACCTGGAGGTTCCCTTAGCGCACTTTTACGCTCTAAGTGGGGCCCGCTTAAAGAAAACGAGCATACGATTGCGTATTACACACGTCAGATTTTAGAAGGGTTGAAGTATTTGCACGATCAGAAAATTGTGCATCGTGATATCAAAGGTGACAATGTATTAGTGAACACCTACAGTGGAGTTGTGAAAATATCAGACTTTGGTACTTCGAAAAGATTAGCCGGACTTTGTACGAGCACAGAAACTTTCGCCGGAACTCTACAGTACATGGCTCCAGAAGTGATAGACAAAGGTCAAAGAGGGTATGGAGCTCCTGCTGATATTTGGTCTCTAGGATGCACTGTTGTCGAAATGGCCACAGGTAAATTCCTTACATTTACAACTTATAATGTAAAATTCATATACATATTTTTTTTAATAAAAGAAAGAAAGGAGTAAACATATACAGTAGCAAGTCGAAATTTAACTAACTAACCAAATCTCTAGTAACCAAAATCGTGTTTATTCGAAAAGACCGAAACACCAAAGAAAAATGGAGAAACTTTTCAACATTCAATGAACAGTATACCTATTGCACTGTTAAAAAATAATTGCATTTTACTGCATGTACCTAAACGCCACCAGCCCCATTTGTTTCGGTTAACGGACTATATTAACTTAATCAAACATCTTCCTATATTTTATTTGTTAAGCTGTTTAAATTTTTTTGTTCTAAAATTTTATATTTTAACCATTTTAAATAACAACCAATATTATATTTCTTCATTTTTAGGTTTTTTGTTTTTGCATTAGACATTAAATTAAATTGTTTAAAAAGTGCTTGTTATATGCATGGGGTACATGCATTTACACTGTATAAGGCACCTCTAAAAAGCATTATGTGGGTCATTCTGTAATTGAGCGCAAGCCTGTTGAGGGCCCAGAACAAGAGAGGGATAATAAATAAATATAACCTAACGAACAATTCAATTGCACTGAAAGAAATATTTCAATTAATAAAGGGATTTTTGTTTAACAAACAATAAACATCAATCATGTAGGAATTTATGTTGCCGTATGCACAGACAAATTTTTAGGCGGAGCTTAAAATCCATGGCAACGATTATTGAGACATTGGTTGCCATAGATTTTAAGCTCCGCTTAAATTTGTCAGTGCAAACATTAATAAGTTAATAAAACTGGTTGTTATGTTATTTGATTGATGAAAAAAATATTTGTTAATAATTTTATTTCCACAATTTAAATAACATTTTTATGTTTGCTTAACTCATTGTTTGATAATTTCCAATAATGATTACTTACTTAATATTTACTTAATTGCTCTCAAACAGTAATAATACTGTTGTATCACTTGCATCGCAAAACAACCAAATTATTTAATTCACAGGCTGAAGATAAAGGCACAATTGGTCTGTCTGTACTCTCATTTCCGGCTAAACAGCTGAACCAATTGGAACCAAATTTGGTACACATATTCCTAGACATAAAAGAGCAGAATCGCGCATGCTTAGGTGTGCAGGTGGTATCTGCTAGCCACAGCAAGTTTTTTTAGGAAGTAGATGTCCTCTGAAAACTGAATATTTCAGTTATCATAAAACTTAGAAGGCTGTGGCTCTGCAGTGTTACTATAGCACGTTCGCACCTCCACATGCAGTATGGTGCTTATGGACATACAGTACATGCTTGCCAAACGTGACAATGACAGCACAAGGAGATTATGTTTTGTTTTAATACTTCAATTTAATCATATATCAATGCGGTTAGAAACAAGGATAGTACGACGCAAAGCGGAGTGCCTTTAACGGTGCAAGTGCTTTAAAGACCAATTATACACGTGTATCTTATAGTATTTTTTATTATACCTGCAGTATAATTTAAAAATAGAAAATACAATGAAATCATATTGACGTTATACTCGAATACATGTCTAATTAAGTGGGCTGGGTGTTCGTAATTTCACGATTGCCATGGAAATGTCACTTGACGTTTGCTTATAAAAATTATCGTCTTTGTGAATAAAACGATTTCCGTTGACAATTCAACTCATGTATAAAAAATCGCATAAGCCGCAGTGCAATTGTCACTTTGACAGCGGCAAAAGTTACCTGCAACTTTTCCAGCGACAAATGCACTAGTGGTTTTTTCACTTATTCATTTTCGAACCAATAATCGCATTATCCTTTCCCATATGACTAGTTTGACGTCTGTCAATAATTGATTAGTTTGGTGAATTTCTTTGTTCGTTAAATTGTCCTGCCGAATTACACTCGAGGTTTGTATTTAAACCGAGTAAATTTGGGTTGTGGCAATTCAAATCTGTTTCCTTTTAGCAATTGAACTCGAAAAACTGTCAACCTAAAAATGCTCCACCTGCGGTGTCGCATTTTTATTAGTTGACAGTTTTTTTCGTCTAATTGCTAGGCAACAGATTTTCATTACCTAAACAACCCAAATTTACTCGGTAAAATACAAACCTCTTGTGCAATTATAAGTGAAAAAGATAATACACCGTTCATTAAATCGCTTGTAAAATCTAAACAAACGTTGGTAGGTGTAAAATCCAACTCCAGTAAAGCCTATTATAAAGAATATGAAAAGTTGTTTCCATGGACGAATAGGAAGTTACTTACGAATATACAGTCTTAAATGCATCCATAATGCTGGCATATATGAAGGAAATGTCAAAGGTATTTAAATCTTCTATATTTTGGTGCATTCATTCAAAACTTTAAAGCAATGCTGCGATGGAACAAATTTGGAAGCATACCCTAAATTACGCGCGTTTGTGAAAGCTTCAACCAAAGGATAGGTACAAAAGCCAAAGAAATGTTCTGCATTTACAGAAAGCGACCTAAGAGGATTTTTTTATTTCATCCAGATGACAGTTTCAAAAGTCATACTTGAAGTATCGTTACTTAGCAACTTAGCAACTTTAAAGCACGTGTGTTTTAAAGGCCCTTTTTCGCACGCATTTGAGTGTTTAAAACGGAGATTGTGATTCAGGTATAATAAAAAATTGTATTCTTTTGCAGAAATTGTTAGAATTAAATAAGATTATCTTGTAAAATTAAGTGGGTACGTGCGCGGTATCCAGGGATCGTGCATTGGTCAGTATCGTTGCTAGACAGTTTTATTGGCGGTCTAAGTTTTTCGAAAACTAAGTGGGATTTCCGTTCCGTTTCCGTATTACCTCGTGTCGTAAAATAAAAAGTATCTGTCAATCTGTGTAATTTCACGAAAGTTGTGTTTTAATTCAGATCCTTCATTGGGCGGTGATGCACTATTGACTTTCCTTATACACTAGTTTCTGGTTTTTATGTGAAAGTTTCCCTACGGAAAATGGTACCTATGCGATTATTCGTATCTTCTTTACCACTGTCACTAGCCGTTACTGTTTTTTGTGAAAAAAACGAGTCATCAGTTTACTAAATCGAAACAATCTCAAAAATCATAACAACGTAATTGTGCTGCCTGCGTTTTCCACACTACTCATTTTATGGTATTGACGTTTAGTAGTTAGTGATCAGAAAAACGGCGAATTTCTAATAATCCTAGTATTGACTTGTCTACCATTTGCCCAAACACGTGTGAAGTAATAATATGATATCAATCTGTGAGTTTAATGCGGCTCGATGTAATAAGTAGTTATAGCCCAAGAGCCCACGACGGCCAGACCTTCGTCATTTTATAAAAGCTAAAAGTTTTTCTGTTAGTGCCTCTAACACAGGTAAGAACGATCAGCGAGTATAGAATTTGAGTTGTGGTTACTTACGCAGGTAACAGGTAGTAAAGGTGTATAAAATGGTACATCAAATTTGTTAAAGTATAAAGGTCAAATTTTCTATATTTTCTTCGTATTAACATTAGAAATTACGTCATCCATTGCCGGACACTTAGTATAGTTGCAACCCCCTGCCAGACACCCCTAAACATTAAAAAATTATGATTGTACTTTCGTTATAGTATAAAAGCTGAACTTTATATATGTTACTTGGGGACCTATAGAAAGATGTTACCTCCATAGCCGGACAGTTTTAATGGTTTCTACATCTTGCCAGACACGTTGAAAGTCTGCTATAGGTGCGAGCGCGAGGCGACAACTGTTCACGTGAATGCGAGTGAGACAGCGCGTTTAGCCTACTGCGATCTTTTACCGCGCATCATCTGTCATTCACATGGTAAATTTTTGCAAATGGTTACTCAATTACAAGCATCGAGAATTGACGTGATCTTTGATCAGTACTTTACACCATCCATCAAAGATTACGAGCATTCCCAACGGTTTGAATCTACGCAATTAGAGTACACCATAACTGGACCTGACCAAGTTCGATCAAGTGACTTCACGAAAGAGTTGAAAAATCTAAATTTCAAAGAAGCTCTGGTTAATTTTTTTATTTTACATTGGGCTACTGATGATGTGGTACCATTTATTGGCAACAAAATTATCCACATCAATTTCAAACAATGTCATTCTTTCATTGTTAACGATTCCAACAGTTTTCTCATGTGTTGATGAAGCGCTGTCATGCCCAGCACACGAGGAAGCCGATACTAAAGTGGTATTTCATGCATGCAGCGTTGACTATCGAGCAGAAATAGTAATCAGAAGTGTTGATACTGATATTGTTGCTATAATGCTTGGTCATATGCACCGCCTTAAAAATGATTCGGTTGTTTGGATTCTTACAGGTACTGGAAATAAATTAAAATATGTGAACCTGACGAAAATACACGCACAATTGGGACAATCAATTTGTCAGAGCTTACCTGGATTTCACGCCATCACAGGATGCGATTACAATCCTGCATTCTTCAGGAAAGGAAAATTAAAACCGTATAAAATATTAAAAAAATGTCTAGAGTACCAGGAAGCTTTCATGAACTTCGGTGACAGTGAATTAATTGAAAATAGAGTCAAACAACAAAACGTTTATAACATTATTCAGAGATTTATATGCCATGTATAGGTACAATATTGGTAATATAATTGATGTTGATGCCGCTCGACTTCAAATGTTCATCGACTCGTATACAGTGTTTGATGTAAACGAAGCTTTTGACCGAAAGAAGTTGAGAAATTTTGACGCTAGCAATTTACCACCTTGCAAAAGCGAGTTATTGCAGCAATTTCTGCGAGCTTTACATATGTACCATTTGGAACAATGCTCATATGAAAAATCCAACCATATATCAACCAGACAATAATGGTTGGGTACTGAAAAATGACAAATACCAATTTAAATGGTTTGAAGGAGATCAACTACCAATTTATGTCAGTGATTCACTCCAAATTCAATCAGGTTTGCAATTATTATGTCAAATGATTATAGGTACATAATTTTGTAGTTGATCATGACTTTCTAAATTTGGTAAATTTTTTTTCAGAAACTGATGAAGAAGACGGTATTGACGACGATCAAGCTATGGACTGGAGTAACGATGAGAATGAACATATTGACATCGACGTAATTGAAGAAAGAAATGATTGAGAATTTTTTTTTATTTTGTACTATATTTCTTACTTTGTATAAAATAGCTATGAATATAATAAAACTTTTTTTATTGGAATTGAACAATTACAATAGGCTAAACACACTGTCTCAATCGCATTCACCTGAACAGTTGTCGCCTCGCGCTCGCACCTATAGCAGACTTTCAACGTGTCTGGCAAGATGTAGAAACCATTAAAACTGTCCGGCTATGGAGGTAACATCTTTCTATAGGTCCCCAAGTAACATTTAAAGTTCAGCTTTTATACTATAACGAAAGTACAATCATAATTTTTTAATGTTTAGGGGTGTCTGGCAGGGGGTTGCAACTATACTAAGTGTCCGGCAATGGATGACGTAATTTCTAATGTTAATACGAAGAAAATATAGAAAATTTGACCTTTATACTTTAACAAATTTGATGTACCATTTTATACACCTTTACTACCTGTTACCTGCGTAAGTAACCACAACTCAAATTCTATACTCGCTGATCGTTCTTTCCTGTGTTAGAGGCACTAACAGAAAAACTTTTAGCTTTTATAAAATGACGAAGGTCTGGCCGTCGTGGGCTCTTGGGCTATAAGTAAATGGGTATTTTCATCCGACGCAACTGTTGACTATCACTGTAAACGACGTTCCAGTAGCAAACGTCAACATATGCCTGAACGGTTCTGTTGACACCGCAAATTTGTGGTGCCAATTATTACCAACTATTGACTTCCACCAGAATTTACTATTCATCGTTCAGGTAAGTCAACGTCTCAACATACTCAACAGTTGTGTCGGTTGAACGTACCAAATAACTTATTTTAGATATGTGTAATAACATAAAGTCACACTAAAATTGACCAAGGAATCGAAATATACAATAATATAAAGGGATTTTGTTGAAAATATTTTTAGGTTGTAGTCTTAAAAGAGTCCTTCAACATGCCTCGACAATAAATTTTGAATATGCGCGTTAATAAAGCCACAATATTCTACCCACTCACCCACTAGAGGCCTTCCCTTAATAATTTTTGTTGTGTTTCCATGCACATTTCTATTCATTGTGTAACCTTTGCGACCAATTAACAAATACGTTCTAACAAATATCTATAGCTACCATGACCATTAAAACACATAAAAATTCATCTGCAATCACCTAGAAATTTTCTGCGCCCTCCAAATCTCTTAAAATAATTATTGAAACATGGTTCGACGCGTATGGTGTAAATCACAGTGTGACGTCTTTTATCCCAACTTCATACTTTATATTGTATGAAGTTAGCCTTGTTTTGAAACGAGTTCGATATTTTAATATATTATTGTAGTTTACTAGTGTTTTTGTTTTACTTTTGGAAATATGTATAAATAAAATAACCCTTAATTATGAAACTTTTTTCGGCTTGCTAAAACATATACAATTTTCGAGATCTTCATGTTGTTCATTTTTATTTTTTACACATGGCTTAATATGAAGTCATCTTTACATGGTCAAAATTCTAAGTGTAATTTTATACGTTTTTCTACACGTAAAATTACACGTACATACAAGTTTGACTATTTAAAGCTGGCTTCAGAGATCTCAATTCTTCGCATAAATAAACCATCTTGTGCATTATATTGGAATTGCAAGATTAGACATTACCGACTCAAGGGAGATGTAAAATTTTTTTTATTATACCTGAATCACAATCTCCGTTTTAAACACTAATGCGTGCGAAAAAAGGCCTTTAAAACACACGTGTTTTAAAATTGCTAAGTAATGATACTTCAAGTAGACTTTTGAAACTGTCATCTGGGTGAAATAAAAAATCCTCTTAGGTCGCTTTCTGTAAATGCGGAACATTTCTTTGGCTTGTACCTATCCTTTGGTTGAAGGTTTCACAAACGCGCGTAATTTAGGGTATGCTTCCAAATCTGTTCCACTTTTTAATCGCAGCATTGTTTGAAGTTTTGAATGAATGCACCAAAAGATAGACGATTTAAATACCTTTGACAATTCCTTCATATCTGCAAGCATTATTGATGCACTTAAGACTTTATTCGTAAGCAACTTCCTATTCATGCATGGAAACAACTTTTCAGAGTCTTTATAATAGGCTTTGCTGGATTTGGATTTTACGCCTACCAACGTTTGTTTAGATTTAGTCAATATGATTTCATTGTATTTCCTATTTTTAAATTATACGGCATGTATAATAAAAAATACTATAAGATACACGTGTATAATTGGTGTTTAAAGCACTTGCAACGTTAAAAACACTCCGCTTCGCGTCGTGCCCTTAAACTCGTTGCGCGTGCTTTAAAGACTTGATTATACACTTTCATCTTAATATACTATTGTATCATGGTGTATTGCATGTTTGAACAATCCTCTTCATTTCTCCATATTCACCAATTCACCAATTATTTTTCATTTTGCTATTTATTTTAGGGAAACCTCCATTCATCGAACTAGGATCTCCCCAAGCTGCCATATTTAAGGTTGGTTATTATAAAGTACATCCTCGAGTGCCAGAAGAGTTGTCAGATCGAGCTCGGTCATTTATACTTCGTTGCTTTGAACCTGATCCTGATAGTCGAGCCACTGCTCAGCAACTTTTGGATGACCCCTTTCTCGGTTCGTATAACAACCTGTTATGCTAAGTAAAATTAGTTTATGTGTCTTACAGGGGAACGCAAGAAAAGTGTGAGGTTAAATACAGAATTTAACAGAAGTGTATCGGTACCTGCTGATAGAGCAAATCCTCGATATTCTGGCCACTCAAGTACACAGAGTCAAACACCAACCACTCCAGAATCTGAGTGAGTACAATGTTATTTCTGATAATGTTTTTTTCTGTTGTGGCAGAACACGCAGTGAATGGTCACAAACTGTCCCAATAAGCTATATTTATTAAAACAGGACAGTCCAAAGGTCAGATACAGAGAGTTTCTTGTTTGAGTTTAATAAACAATACGTGATAAGTGCTCTTTACATACATTTGTACACATATATTTCAACTTGCAGATGCATGTAAAAATGTGAATCCAAAACAGATTTATAACGAAATGGGACTGCTTCTCAGTTTAAGTAGATAGTAGCCATGGACTTCAACCTTAAAAAAAAAGGTTTAGCATAAACGGTTTCAATGGCGCTCTCATACGGTACAGTTATTTTCCTAACAAGTGCGCTACTTTCGTTTCGGAATCACCTTCGCGCGTATGTTAGGAACACGTTTTCCTACAATCGTTTAAGAATTAATCAAATCGCGTGCGCAAAGTGAACAATTCCCGCACTATGCGAGAATGTCAATAGATTGTAGGAAAATGTCTATTTCTATACAGGACGATAAGGATTTTCATGATGATGCATACTACTAGTACTAGATACTACAGTATCGATTTCAGCGCTTCTATGAAACAATGTAAGCAATATTATTGTGAGGATTGTATGTAGTACATCTAATAAACTTGAAGATCCTATGCCAGCAAAATAGGTACCTACTTTTAAGTAATAAAATAGTTCTGTAAAATCAGTTAAAAAAGTTTCTTCCCACGACAGTGTTTCCCCATCCTATCTATCTATTATATCTCAGATAGTAATAGTCATGGTGTGAAATAATAAGAGGTGTATGAGCTTTTTATCTTTACTATAAGCACAAAGTAAAATTTGTTTAACCAGTTTATTAGTTTTGATCTATATTTTGTCATTTTTTAAAATTATTTTGTGAATTATTTCGGGTATAAAAATG